TCTGACCCCGCCTCGATGACGTCATAAAATATGCATATAGTCCCGAACGTACCAGTACTAATTTCTGAGAACACGTCCAGCTACTAATCAGAAATGGCCGAGATAGCTACTAATAACGCATGTTCCAATAAATCATAAACCGGCGATTAATAACGATGTCACGAGAGATGGAAGAAGAAGACAGTTACTAATCAACAAGTTCATGAGAAACGAAGCAATGACAGAGAAAGTTACGAATGAAAAATCAGAAATGACGGACCCAGCAACTATTAACGAATGAAAAATCAGAAATTGACGGCTCCAGTTACTAATAACAAACAAAGACTTTTGTCTTGAATGGCCTTCCATACTGAACTACCGATGAGGAAATTATTTTGTACAACAATTGTTAACACTGTTAAGGAATATGATTTTTCACGCAAAGGTCCGCATCAATTGAATCTGTCAATTACTTGTATCACCATATCCCCCCACCCCCACCCCCTTTTTTGTAACTTTAAGTCTTGCTTATATATTTAGGTTAATGTGGGTAGAGGAATTTCATCATGATACAGGTCAGTGCCCGTAAGTGATTATTGGAAATGTTCAAGAAGACACTGTAATATATTCAATCAACATATGTTAACAATACCGCAATTTTCTTTATGATCAAATCATCATTAATACATTGATTAGCTACACGACTTAAAGCCATTTAACATAATTAGAAATATCGACGCTTTGTGTCTCATTTCACAATTCCTTGTTTACTACAAGTATCCTCCGCTATTCAGAAATACTTCGCAGTTATATTTCAGATCAGATATACAAGTTCTTACTGAGCAGAAATGGAGAATGTAGATCCAACTTATTTTCAATATTACCTTCTTGGTAGGCCCTACAAAATTTTTTATTTTATTTTTTCAGCCAACACAGATTGAAGGTAACAGTATATATGTCTTACAACTCACCCGCCAAGACAGAGAAATGGGCATATTACTACGCTAATCTATGTCGAGCAAGACTTGAAATTAGCAATTCAATAGGCCAACTATAGATTGTATTTCAACTAATCCTAATAGCTATCAGCTGATACCCCAGGGAATTGTATTAACTTCTAAATCTTGTGAATAATTCAATATCCTTTTCTAATCAATTTCTCTTTATGCCATTAACACAATAACCTGAATCTATTTTCATTTGCTCTCTTGAATTTAATAATTCATATCTTTTTAATCCTACTATGGGATTAGTAATGGTTCTACATCGTTAGTCAGAAATCAGTTAATTTGTTTTTAAATAATATAATACCTCACTCGACCGGTTTCAACAATGACATTTTTGTTTTTAAATTTATTTTGTGGGTCAAAGCAATATATTTTTATGTCATATATGTATATTTAATATTCAAGTAAAAACCTGTCCCTGTGTGGTTCAGAGAAAGTTTTTGTTATATTACATAGAATAACATTATATAGTCTGATTTAAAGCAAAAATGTTCATATAGGCTAGACGTTTCAATTTTTACGAACGTTTAGAACAAATTGTCGGCAATTATTAGATCGATTAAGTGCAGAAAGTGGCGTTTGCTTCACTAACTACTACTTTAGGGAATTTGATGGTCCAAATGTAACCTAATGAAAAAAAAATCGTTGTAAAATGTTGGCCAAAATAATGTTGTAGATTTTGGTGCATCTTTTCACCAATCATATTCATACATAGTTGCAACCCCCGACGTCAATCAGGATAATGTTTGGTTTACATTCAACGTCATAGACCCGAGTGACGTTATGTTCTACTTCCGCTAAAAGAAATTGTAGATTTTTTTGTTTGTTTTAGAAATTTATAAGAACCACTAAACACAAATTTAAATGATAAAGGCCAAGAGAGAAACAAGTTGGAGGAAATTTCAAAAACTTGTCAACTCTCAAATTTGCCAAGTTGGACTGTATAGTGAAACGTCTGAAAAATTACAACAATTAAGAAAGGATCTGGAAAAATCAAATGGAAACCGTTCACATCTAGAGTTTCGCCTGATTTCATACTGCACTCTTCGAATATTACAGCTAAGTAACTGTTTATGGACACAAGAAGAAACAGAAATGTGCAATCCCGAAGATAAAGAAGCAATCAAACGAGGTAAGATCTAGATCTAGGCCTACATGATTCTGGGGTAAAACGAATTAATTCCATTGAATTATTGCATACATGCATCTTGGAGTAAAGATAGGCCTATCTATGTTGAAAGATCAAACTAGAACCAATGACTGTTGCAAAGCTTGGGGTTAAAATCTCCGAAACCATGGAATGTCGAAATTCAGATAATATGGCTTGTTTTTTTCAACATTAGCCATCGAGCCGTTCTGACCACAGAAATCAGTCTGAAGGACTAGGCCTATGGTAATTGTGCCTTCAACCACAAACTAGTTACCTCAAAGGTAAAGCTAGATTGTCAGACAATATTTAGTTATGATTCATGATATAAAACGTTTTGACATTTCTTTGCATAAGCTTACTTTGCACAACAACGAAAAAATAATCAGCTTTTACAAACCATTTCAGAAATACGAGATAGTTTGTTGAATCTTGAACTCCGTCTTGGGAAATACACAGATGAAGTTATTTACAGACATTTCAATGAAAACGATAGGAAATTTCGAGAAGAAGAAGAACGTTTGTTTGACACTATTGAACACTTTAAGGTTAGTTGCTAAATATGTTATATCCATCTGGAAGTTTGATTATATTTAAGGAAGATTGTACCTGATAGTCTATGCTACGGTCACGTCAATAGTCCTTATTATTCCCCCTTCTTCGTCCATTAACTAACGTAATTTTCAACCTTTTTTCCGAATTCGATCATGTATAGTATTAGTTAGACGCAGTGGACGCACAGGACAAATGGTGGATACGTTAGCTTAAGGTTGCAGAAGACCAGATAATCCTAAAGTAACATCGGTTATCTGACAATCGAGATGGGGTGTTCATACCGATGTAGATGACGATGTACGTACAATGTATCATTAACAACCAATTCCATTAAAATATCTCGATGTTGAGTATCACTGTATATCTTTTTTTTCTAGAACCAAGAGACATCTGTAGTAGACGTAGAAATCATTAAAAGCAATGTATATAATGTTTGTGAGAGAGCACAAGATATGGGATATAACATAGGGGAGCTAACTCTATCAAACGATATGGCTGAAATATTAAGCACTATAAAGCTTCTATCTAGATCATTCTCAGCAGCAAATACTAGGTGAGTTTAAATTTTTTTTACACAATACAAAACGTTCGAGATTTAAGAACAGTTTTATCTGCAGATGCCTTTAAACGTACTTGTTGATTTAAACTTCTCGAACCGTCAAAGAGTCTTTGATTCAGATGAGTATGGTATATCAACTATACGACTACACGCGTATTGGTTGATGGCACGGTTTATTCCCAATTTTACACAGAAGCTCGCTGGGTTATAATGAACGCTGTCGTCAAGTATTTTTCGGTTCTTAAAGTGTAAATTATAGATTCAGCTTATATTCAGACCACAGGCTTGTCCTTTCTATTCTTCTTTACAATTTTCAGAAATTCAACAAAAAATTCAAACAGCCAATCTTCTGCTGGGTTAGAAAACATAACTGTTTGTCCGTGTGAAAATCAACCGTCAGAAGACAAACAAGACTGCAGTGAAATAGTGGACTTCAGCAGTGACTATACCGGAAGTGAGCAATCAGCAGAGTGGACCACTGCTAGAGCTACGGCTTTGCGTATCAAAAACATCCCTAAACTTGATTTCCAATTTTTGGATTCAGATCAAGAAATAGAAGAATTCGACCGAAAATATTGTGATCATGAGGTATCTTGTTGGTCGTCCAGAACGTCATCATGTATTACAGAGGAACTTCAAAGAGAGCTAGACTATTCCTGTGTTTTCAAAACAATTGATGAAAAAACGGAAGTGTCCTCTGTGTATGAATCACTGTCGCCCAGTACAATTCCATCAGATATTGACTCGGAATTCAGATCAAGTTCCAGAGCTAGCTCTTATTCCCAGGCAAAACGTAGGACAAGTGTACGTTTAATGGATCACCCTCACTGTTACGGAAGTTTTACCTTAATTTCGAGGAATCAGGAAACAGCTGTGTCTGATGGACTAGGATCTTTTACAATGGATGACTTGTCTGGTTGCGACTCAAATGCAGTAAATTATGGTCATTCCACTGGATTTGTGAGCAGAACTGTTCATTTGAATCATAGATGCAACACGTTAAAAAGAACATTAAACACAATTACATCTTCTATTACCCAAACAATCCGAATGTGGATTCCATTCGATCCTTCCTATTGGAATACCATGTCTCTATGTCTAATTGTAGTATTTTGCCTTCTTTTGTTAAGAATTTCATGGGTTTATTTCTGTTGTAACGGTCCAACGAGAAATATCTTGAGGTATTCATTCTATCCTGAACTTGACAATATAAGTTTTCTTTTAGAATTTTTATATAGAAATATGGAAATAAAGCATCATGGTTTACCACCTGTTTAAACAAAAACCATATTTTTCTTTTCTTACCTTACCATTTCAGACAAAACTCAACAAACATTCAAGGGGTATTCCGTTTTTTTTTTGTAAAAAGTTTTTATTATCAAATACTTCGTAAATTATACCTAGAAATATTTCTAAAGTATGCTATTTATGTCTATGTATATTCTTGATCTGGATTGATATTTTGAATTTGGTTTAAAAGTGTTAATCAAAAACGGAGAATACTAATTGTTAATGAAGCAGTTTGACCTAGTTTTGGTGTTTTTCTACAATTAGGCGTTTATTTTACAGTAGTTTCTAACAGCTTCCAAAAAGCATACCGAACTTAAAAACCTTACGTAATGTGTTTAGAAATTAACGCCTGGATTCCATTAGTTAAAACTTTCAGATATGTTAAAGGGCATATTTCTCTACATTTTGGTGTGTAGTATTCACAAATTTGAGCAAAATATTTTTAGACCTACAAAAAAGAGGAATGTCTTTTTAATTACACCAGTATGTAATTATTTAAACCTGTACCCGGTGATAGTAATTATTTGCAGGCTGTGGGTCAGTAATTTTTATTTATCCTAAGATGCTTGCTTTATTCAAAGGATGTAGGCCTGTTTTTACCTAGTCTATTAGTACATTAGACTATGTCACTGTGCTTCGCATCGATTATACCTTAACGTTCAAGAGAAAACATAAGTAGTGTATGAGCTTATATATTGGTCGTATGGGGATTCCCCATTCCATTTCATTTCATGGGGAAAATGCGACCAATATATAAGCTCCCAAAAAAGACCTAAACTCCCTACATTTCATAAATTCTTACAGCTAAACATCCTACATTTCATAAAATTCTTACACTAAAAAATACCCTTCATTTCATAAATTCTTTCACTAAAAAAGACCTAAACTCCCTATAAATTATTACACCTAAACTCCCTTACATTTCATACACCAAAAAACACCTTCAATCAATTTCCTACATTCCATCAAAAAAAAAGCATATTAAAAATACCCTTATATAAAAATAACATCTGGTTTTAAATAATGTAGAAGGGAGATAACTCTTTTTTGGAAAACAATTTTCTACTCAAATTTTAAACCTTAAAAATGGCCAATAAAATACCAGATCTAATCTTTAGATTATACGATCCGATTCGTTATTCGTTTAACAAGAAAAAAGAGGATTATATTATATTCTCACCCACTGTTGGTTCTAAATCCCAATTGAATGATGGTGGTAGAATTACCTTCGAAATACATTCATTATCGAATTGGTTGCTTCTTTCCGATGCTTATTTCAGATGTGATTTCAAAATTAAAGATGGAACTCAGAATCAAGTACCACAAACTAATACAACGTTAGAAAACAATTTCTTTCCATCTTTATTTAGCGAGATGGTTTTGGAAGCTGGTTCAAATCCGATAGAAACAATTAAACACCCTGGGAAATTCGACACAATGTTGAAAACAGTTTTATATCCTACAGATTTCGATTCAGTCTCAGGTTGGATACCCGATGTTGGCGATGGAAGTGTTTTAAAAGAACCGGTAAGAAATCTTGCAAATGAAGCTGATTTAGCTAGAGTGAGAGTTGTTGCTCAAAACACAATAGAAAGAGTAGCACGAGCAGCTAATCATGGATTCGAAAAACGAGTACTTCAATATAATAATATTGTTGAGAATAATAGGTGGGGTAATTACGTAAATTGGAAATTATATCCTTTATTCGGTCTGTTGGAACACAGAAAGGTTTCCATAGGGTTACCATATAAAATTCATCTACAAAGAGAAATCAACGATGATAAGATATTCTTTGGAGAGAATGGTTCAGATGCAAAATTAGAAATAACGAATCTCCAACTTTTCATACCCGTAATAACACCATCAATTTAGGTAGAAACGAGAATATTCAACTCGTTAACTAAAGATATTGAAATAGCTTTTCTTCATCGTAATACGGTAGGTAGCATGACTTTAACTGGAGAATCCACTACATGGCCAATCACTAACACTATTAAACCAGCAAGATATTTAATGGTTGGTTTCAAGAACTTAGCAGATTCTCAAACGAATAACAATAATGTCTTCAGAGTGGCAATGAACCAAACTCAAGATCCTTTAATCCATAAAGTTCAAGTAAGATTAAACAACGATAATTATCCTAACCAACCTTTAACAATTAATCCAACCACAAAGGATTATAATGAATTGTATAGAAACTATAAAAACATTAATTGGAAATCCACCTCAGTTTGAATATGTAGATTTTGCACTTAATCATCCAATCTTCTGTTTTGATCTATCAGCTCACCAAGAAGATCTTTTCCAAACAGGAGTTAACATAAATATTCATATTGAAAAAACACAAGGAGATGTAACCGGTTATTGTTTACTACTCGAAGAAGCAAAACATTTAATTAAAATAGCAGATAGAAGAAGATAAGAATTGAGTAAAAAATACACCCTTAAAAATGAAACCAGAAACTTTAGTTATGCAAATAATAGACGTTGTTGAAACAGATTCCCCAACTGAAATAACTTTCAACGGTAAAAAATTCAGTATAACTAAAAAACTTATTGATAAATACAAATATTGTAAAGTTAGAGACGATATAGATTTAGAAAGAATTGATACAAATGTAAAAAAAGGTGGATTTATATTTTCCCTACCTTTAATATTTGCTGGTATTACCGCAGCGGCTACAGTGGCTGGTACTACAGCTGGTGGAGTAAGCGTTGCCAACGAAAAGAAAGCTGCTATTGCAAAAACTGCTGCTACAAAAGCTGCCGAAGAAAAGAAAGCAGCCGAAGAACATAGACACAATTTAGCATTGGAAAAGTTGGCAGCAGAGGGTAAAAAACCTAAAACGGAAAAGAAAGGTTCAGGAGTGGGAGATATGATAGGCACAATGAAAGAATTTGGAAAAGATTTGGTGAAGAAACCAAGAAAACTGTTAAACAAGGATTAAATAAATTAGTAGATAGTATTGACACAGGAGAAATCAAAGTCAAACATAAGGGTAATGGAATATTTAAAAAAAATATACACACTGGAGAAGGAATATATCTTTCAAAGTATAAAGGAGAAGGAGTGATTTTTGGAACAAATTAAAATAATAAAAAATGGGCAAAAAATTTAATCATTCAGAAATATTTCCTAATAACCCAATGCTCATGTGTATATGCGGTAGTTCCGGTTCCGGGAAAACTCATCTCACTTTTAACATGTTGACAACACCAAACCTTTTAGATTTCGATTGTTTGTATATCTACACAACAACACCAGAGCAATCGTATTATCAATTTCTCAAAGCTTTAGAATATCTACCAAAGAAAGATGTTCAAGAGCTATTTCAATATTACGAAGAAAACGAAGAGGAAGTGGAAATAAAAGATATCATAGATAACTACATCGAAGGAAAGAATCCAACGGATATAAAAGTTTTTCTTACGAAAAATGTTAATATCCTAGACTTGTCTAATATTGATAGCAAACGAAAGAACTTAATATTGTTTGACGACTGCGTTGCGCAAAAAAATCAAGCTGTTCAACAAGAATTCTTCACCAAAGGAAGACATCACAACTGTCACTGCATATACCAATCCCAATCTTTTTACGGGATGGATTCTATGTTCATTAGAAAAAATGCGAATTGTTTTTTATTATTTGAATTAAACGATAAAGATTTATCTCAAATCATTCAGTCGATAAATCACGGAATGGACAGAGATACATTTAAAAAGGTTTGTAAAACTCAATGGAGAAACCCAGATGAACATGGATATGTATTTGTAAATACTAGAAAACCTGCGGGTGAAAGAGTTATGATCGACATATGTTAATTTTATTTTTTTAAAAATGAGTAACGATTGGAATAATATTTTAAAAAGAAATAAAGAATATATCAACGCTAAGAATAAAATAAAGACCCAAGTTGAAAATAACAGATTACAACAACTCGGATTAACGGAAAATCTACAAACTCTATTTCAACCCATATTAAAATCTCAAGAGGATATTAAAAAGAGACTCATCCATCCTATTGAACCCATATCTCCTATAGAACCTCATCACCCAGAACCGAATCCATATGGTGGTATTATAATTAGGACATTAGATGATATTAATAGTCTTTTTTCAAACCCTAAAGCAGATTTAACAAAGAGTATTACACCAATCATTGATGATGAGGGGTTATTGTTTAATGGATTTAGAATAAAATTTAGGGCAAATTCCCCTATATTCAAAATCGATACAAAAGACTTAATATTTACATTAACGAGAGGATTAATAGATTTAATGAATGGAGGGTATATTGGCATTGCCGATTACAAAGATTTACTAGCATACTCAAAATTTCTACATGCAATAAGAAAGTCGGGACCCGAAACAAGAAGATCGAAAGCAGTTGAAACATATTTAAATAAAGTTTTTCTTGATGAATATGAAGATGAGGTATCAGATGATTATGCAGAAGATTATACACCAATCATACAAGAAATAGACGATTTCGATGATATGGTGGCATCTGGACAAGGTATCCGACAACAACGAGGAACTACTTAATAGATTACGAGTAATATTAGCGGCAATGAAGGAAGGACATCGATCACACAGACAATACAATGAAGTGAATTGTATACTAAAAAGACTCCTAGAAAAAGGTATCATAGATAAAAATGATTATAAAAGCTTGATTAAAAATGTCAAATAAAGAACAACTATTCGTTATCACCTCAAATAAATCAGACATTAAATTATCTCTAGATTATGAGTACGAACTCGATCGCAATCAAGAATATGAATTGGGATTAAGTATTTCTCTGTTTACAATTCCATTAGAAATATCAACGAAAAAATAACCAAATAAAAATATCAACAGATAATGGAGTTACGTTCAAAACCATACGTTTACTACTAGGAAGCTACGAATGCATAGCCATTAACGAATACCTATCTGAATATGGAGGAAGTGTCAATGGTAAAAACAATATTGAATTCGAAGGTAATTTGAATCTGAACAAAATAAAATTGATATTAAGAAATAATAGTCAAGTTGATTTCAACGTAGAAAATTCATTGAATGCGTTACTAGGATTTGATGAACAAATATACACCCAATCCACTTTAGCACCACACACAGCTAATGTCGAAAATGATATCGATGTGATAAATATACATTGCAATTTGATAAACGGTGGATTTTTCAATAAATACAAACATCAGATTATTTACAGTCTTCCAACATTCACTGTACCGGTAGGATGTAGAATTATAGAGAAACCATTTCAAACGACGTATTTACCACTTAATTTATGATTAAAAATATAAATCTGGAAATCAAAGATGGTAAAAATAGGTTTATAGCTTTTGATAACGAGGAAATTGTTATTCAACTTCATTTAAAACAAAAAAAATTAACACTCTTCATTCTCTTCTTGAATAGTTAGATAATCGTAATCATCAAATTCGTAGTTTTCATCCATGTTCATTTCTTTTCCGTCGTTGTAAGGATACATGATTCCTTCACTGTTTGGTGCTTTTCTCTTAACGAGATTTAGATAACTTCCTTTGGAATAACTACTCCATTGGTGAAAATTTTTTTACCCATGGTTTCTTAAATTCATTCGTTACACCGTGTTCATTAGCTAATCGAATATAATCTTCTACGGTTATCTTATCTTTAGAGTAACCCTTAAACGTTTTTATTTCTTTTAGAACACCATCGGAAGTTAGAATGATATTGTATTTAATTTTTGGCGCTAAATATAAACCAAATATAATTCCACCATCACCGTAATCATTCTTTCCTTTACAATAATCATTTTCGGACACCAACCCACCTTCATTTAATTTATCCCGATTGCTAGACGAAATGTAAAAACTATCGGTATCCGTATAGTATATTTCAGGCTTATAAAATCCATCTATCACGCGAATAAAATTATTCATTATTTTTTTACTGTGAGATAAAACGAATGATCCCAAATGACTAGGTGTTAGTCGTGTAGATTTAGGAGGTGTACAGTCAAATTCTTTTTCTTCTCCATTTATCTCAACTATATATTGACTATCATTTACTTTTTCATAGTTTATAACGTGTGAATCGAAGTTGGCTTTTAAAGTCGCTTCACTCCATAGATGTCTCGATGTAGTTATATCCTTCTGAATAGATTTACCATACAATGAATTACCTAATAATTTCATGCAATTACTACCTACGATATTACCTTCTCGTTTATATTTATTTCTTAGATCTCTCAAAATTAAAATATAATCTCTATAGGGTGGAGTTTTAAAATTTTCTTCGTAAACTATACCATCTAATATTTTAATAATTCGTCCACCGACTTTCACTGTTTCTTGAATATCGACCGATGTTAAAACGTCGTGACAGAAACCATTTCTGAACCTGATTTTAGTGCCAGTTTCCTTTTTACCTATTCTATTCGTAAAACTGATTTTATCTTTAGCTGGTATGGGTTGGAAGAACATGTTAGTAGGATATTCAAACCAGACTTTTAAAATAGCCGTTCTAGGTCTAAATTTCTGCTCATTAAAGAGATTAACAAATTCTTTATTTTCTTCTTGTCGAAATGGTCTACCACTTTCCGCTCTCGGATATTCGCTGTCTAAATCCGACATGGCGGAAGCGTACAAACCGTTAGCATCAAAGGCCATTAGTTTAGTACATTTTATTTTTTTAAGTCTCGAATGAACCTCCGTTTTATCTTTTGGGTTAGCACTATATTCTTTGAATAAATCAATTATATTATCACTTGGTGTTTCTGTGTATTCCTTTAATATATTACAAATTTCTTCCATTTCATTCGTTTCAAATGATTTTCGATTTGTCGAAACTCTTCCTCCTTTAATACTTTGTCTGATAAAATATCTTATAAAAGGGTGAGTATGTGAGTAAACTTTTTCTACGTTTTCTTTTTCGGTGTGTTTCGGAACCATTCTAGTACTTTCATACCATTCTTCTTCAACCATTTCTTTATCGTAATGATATAAATAATACCAACCCTTTAAAGATAAAGAAGGAGCCGTTAGATTATTGGAAATATTCTGAAATACAACTTCTTTCATTGCTTGATTGTATTTTATCAAACAAGCTCCGAGACATAACGTATCTCTTTAAGCGTAAGGTTCCCATTCGTCTCTTAAAGATTCCCAATTATCTTTGGTGTATTTTGCAATATTAATATCGGTGATCTTTCTCAAATTCATCGGTAGATTAGATGAATTACCCCATGCCTCTTAACTAGATGATTCATGTTGATAGGAACATATGAAATTAATATTTTGCAAATAATTAGAGTTACCCTTTATTTCTTTCTGTCTATTCCATTTTTTCTGTAAATCTTCATCGGTGAATGAATTAGTTAAAGGTAGAGACAGAATTCCTCTGGCTTTTTTTAAAGGGCATTGTGTTAGTTTTTTTACGTTTTTGATCATGATCCAGTTATCAAAACCGCTACCGTAATGAGCAATTAATGTTATTCTTTTTTGATCTATTTTTCCTAAACGTTGTAACATTTGATCGATACAATCTGTACCTACAAATATTTCTACTATATTCATTAATTTATTATAAAATTCTTCTGGAATGGGATCTGTCGCCTTTAAATCTGGAAAGAGATTATTTATTCTCTCTAACATTTTTCTTAGTTTTTCTAAATTAATTAACGTGCAAGAAAAAGGTATGGCTTTATTTTCGTTATAGGTTTCGCAATCCCATGCGTATAAACAATCATCGTGAATGGTTGGAAAAGCGTTTAGTTTTAGAGGTGAAACTTGCGTTATCGCATTATCATCTCTACAAGTTCTCCATACGTTTTCATCGTAATTATCTTCTATTTCTGTAATGCCTAAGGTTTGGTTATTTCTTCTAATGAGACAGAAATGCGATTTATGTAAGTAAAATACCCAATCTAATTCCTCGGATACTTTCTTTGGTTGAAAATGTCTATGTTTGGGCATATAAATTTGAAAATTAGTATTAAATTTCTTATTGAATTCACAGATTCTAGCAGTTGTCATAACTCCTTTACTGTTTGATGTTGAAAAACTGTTGATGAAATCTTGAAATTCTCTCGTGTAGTCTTCGTTTAAAACACGATTAACACACTTTACAAAGCAGTATCCATCGCTCGGTATATAACAATTTATACCGCTATATTCATTGATCTTTTTAAGTTAACACCACCACCCTTTTTTGATCTTTTTCCTGTGAAATACCAATCAGAAGCATCCGATTTATTATCCACTGTTGCGAAGAAATTGCGAAAAGTTTTGGCATTAAAGCCTACAAATTGCATGTATTGTTTGTGTCCTCCATCTTGAATTATCTCTCCATCTAATTCAATTTGCCCTTTAAATGTTAAAAATTCATCAGAGATAAGCTTAATAACATTGGAAAAAAGTTCATTTGATATGAATTTTTCATCGTCTAAAATTTCAATTTTATTCATATTTTTTAAGTATCTATTTTTAACTAGGAATTTTTAACTTTTATTGATGTTATTTCCACATCAAATTTATCTAAAATTTCATTGAATTTTTCTAATTCTTCAATGGTTATGTTCTTATCTTCTCTCGATCTTTCGAAAAAAATGAATAATTTATTAAGATATGTATTCAAAATTTCTGTTTTCTTTTTATAATAAGCTTTCTGTTTTGATGTAAAACCTAAAGTAATCAAACTACAAGATGAAGTTTGAACGGCAGTGAACGCGGCTAATACAGTTGGGACAATTATTGGAAGCATTAATCCACCAGTTACGGCTGTTGCCACCGTTATCCCTACTGTTAAAACTGTACTTAATGTTTTGAAAACAGAATCAATTCTACTCCATGTTTTTCTGCATTTGTTGAATTGTTTTAGTTTTTCTTTTAGTTCGTTTTGTTTGTCTATCATATATTGCTATCTACTTTCGAGTTCAATTTTTTAGGTAATTAAATTAAATGAATTTCTGATAAACCAAAATCTGCTTTGTCTATAATATCTTCAATAACAACTTCTAGAGATATAAACGATATTTGTTCTTTCGAATCATTAATCTTATTCAGATGAACTGAAAATTTTGGTTTTTCAATAGAGAATGATATATAAACATATAGCACATGTTCTCTTATTGGTTGTATTATAAAAAATAGACTTTGTTGACTTTTATGAATATCAATTGAGGTAAATAAACCTTCATCAACAAAATATAGTTTTACATATTCAAAAACTGTCGTTCGTAAAAACTCATAAATCTTTATTTTTTTATTTTGTGGTTCTGGATTTCTAATAATACTTGTTGATGGTGGACTTTCCGTTTCCAATATCATATTAAATTCACTCAATGAAAATTGATCTTTATTTTCTTTATCTGGTATGATTAACATTCTAACCTATCTATATATTTTCCACTCGTTTTAATTTCATATAAGTGATTAACCTTCTTGTTTTCGTCGTTAATTTCAAATTCTTTAGTTTTTACATTTTTTGTACCATTGATAAACTGAAGAACTTTACGAGCGTTGAAATTATTAGATAAAAGAAAGTTTTGTCTGAAGAATATTGAATCAAATTTTGCCTGTATAGGAAAAATAATTTCAATTACAATTTTTTCATGGAAAACAAAAAAATGTTTATCTTCAGAATCAAGTATTGTAAAGGGCATAGTTAAATTTGGAGAATATACTCTTATATTTACTTTAAATCCATATTTTTTATATTCATACTCTTTTGATCTATCAATATTATCAGTAATGGGAGCATCTTTATTACTCAAACTTCCAAATGGAAGACTAAAGTAATATGATTTATTTTCTTTCTTGAGATGTTTTTCTAATGCGACTATATTTTTGTCCTGTTTTAAAACTAGGTTATTAATAGTGGTTATCTGTTGTTGAATAACACTATCATCAATATTTTGTATTTGTTGTTGAATATAGGTTTTGATTTCGCTATCATCAATATTTTGTATTTGTTGTTGAATATAGGTTTTGATTTCGCTATCATCTATGTTTTGTATTTGTTGTTTAATATTTGATAGTTCTTTTTGTAATTCACTGTTAAGTTTAGTTTCCAGAGCATTTAATTCCTGTTGAAACGTATCTTCATTTTCATCTGGAATGTTATCTATTAATTGTTGAATGTCTAATTTTTGTTTTGCAATCTTATCCTCTAATTTAGATATTAATGAAATTAAATTTTGTAACTCAGTTTTATTCGCTACGTTGACCAATTCTTTTTGAATAAAACTTATTAAACCTTTTACCTCTTGTTGTAGTTTAGTATCATTAATACAATTTTTATTATTTAGTTGACGTTTGAAGAATCTTTTCACATTACTTATTTTATCTTCTAAATGGTTTTTATTTACTCCAATTGCATTTATTTGTTCCCGTAAATATTTCTTGTGAACGGCGTCATTATCGTTTTCCGGAGACTTTAAATTAGTTATGGTAAAATTATTCATATCTAAATCACCTTGAAGAGTGTCTCCGATTTGATCCACAAAGTAAGGTTTCGCTTTATTTATCCACGCTGTAGTGTTAGGTTTTTTAGTTTCTAAAGATAAAGAACCTAATCCAAACTTGTTCGCCATTTTTATTGAGTTAAATTTATTACAATTTCTTCGAACTGTTTTCCTAAACTCAACTGGTATAAAACCCAAAGTGAAAGCTGACCACAAAACTTTTGTCCCGGTAATTGAATTTGAAAGGAAGAACATTTGATTGGTTTATTAGTCAATTGGATTATCTCTTCAGTGGGTTCTCATACATATGCATCGAAAAAATATAAGTCATTTGAAGAGTCTTTGTACAAAGCAGAATGATGAACTCCTTTTTGATCGGAAGTATGTATATTTGTTATCGCGTAATATTTACCTTTCTTATATTTCAGATCAGTTATTTCATCTCTCATACAATAATAAAACGGTGATATATTTAACTCATTCGCCCATCTCATAAGTTGAAAGTTTGTGGTTGTATCGGTTCCATATTTATCGAGAAAGATATTCATTTTTAAAAGTCGGTTTTTTGAGGAGTATGCGGTAAGTATTGTTGAAAACCCAATTGATGAAATATATACGTAGTTTGTGTTTGAAAAAAATTGTATTACATTCTGATAAAACACATTCAATAATATTTTGAACATAAATTTGCATTTAAATTTAAAAAATTTAAATTTAAGAATGCGTAAATGCTTGTCTACATCTAAATTTCTTTATCTTCTATCAAATTCTTCATCATCATCTTTGTTTTCGAGAAACTCATTCATTTTTAAAAGTCGGTTTTTTGAAGTACATTTTGATAAAACCTTCCTATGATTTGTTCTTTGTCTTGATCGATTAATTCATATGTCGGAGGTGAAGTGGTGTTTACTTTATCTACGATGAATATTTCGTTCCAACGTAACCTTTTTCGAATTTGCTTTAATATTTGAAAATACGAACTCGATCTCTGACTTTAAATAGATGAATGAATATTGTTATTGTATTCATCTACAACCTCTGGTAATATTTTAAGCCATTTTTGAGATTTCAATTCCGTGAATTTTTTAAATAATTTATTTTTTAGAGTCCTGTTAAATCTTTCTATTACTACAGCTTTACCTTCAATATGCGTACTGTAAATTTCAAATCCCAGAGATTTCATATTTTTGTTATAAAATTCACTTCCTTTATCTACCCACAGTTTTTCTGGATGACGGTTAGATTGTTTCATAATCGTTTCTAATGCGTGTTTGACTGATAATCCTGTTTTGTTTTTCAAAGGAATAACCCAAACATATCTCGTATACAAATCTATAACTGTTAAGCAATATTTAAATCCTCTTTCGACTGGCATATGAATTAAATCGGCTGACCACATTTCATCTTTTTCAAACACTTTGACTTTTAAAAAGTTTTTAGTTTTTCTAAATTCTTTGTGAATTTCATCCGCTAATCCCATGCCTGATTTCATCTTTGCTTTTAACAGTTTTATGATTAGAGCCCTTTGCATTCTCTCTTTGAAAGTTGGATTTGGAATATTTTCAAGTTCGATTATCATTTGTCTGTCTGCTTCGTGTCTGAAGTTTATGTCTTTGTTTCTGTATAGTATGTCGTGTTAAAGCGCAGCGGCGTCAACTCTATTGACTGCTTCTTCGCCCGGTTTTGGTTTATCATTTTCGTCTAATCGCAGATCTAACCTGGTACCTGGACCGGTGTAATTATGACCGGGAAGATGTTTTTCTCTGGGATATTTCGCCCATGGAAATCCAGGAAGAGAACCCAATGATTTTTGTATATCTGAACCAAAATAAGTTTTTAGAGCGTGAGCGACTATCATTTTTATCCTATAACTTTAAAACCTTTTCCTTTCCTTTCTTCTAATCTCCTGTTTCGAAGTTCTCTTATTAGCTCTAATTCTTTCAACTCGTTAGATTGTTTCAATGTGTCGCTTATACTCTTTCCCGCTTCCGCGATTGAGCCGATGGCTTTCGCTCCGGTTGAAATGACTGATTTGTTTTTTGAAACAAAGCTAGCTACTTTTGGAATTATTGTTTTACCCAGAGAAAATAATGAAGAAAAGATACCGTCGCCCGAATAATCTTCGAATTTGTGTTGTTCGTGTTTTAGAATTAAACTCATCCTATTTTTAAATGAGTTAATTTAACGAAGAAATTGTGTTTCCAAAAAAAGATTTATCTCCCTTTCAAGACTAAAAATAACATTATTTAAAAACGAGGCTATTCAAAAATGTTATGTTATTTTTATATGAAATGTAGGAAATTGATTGAAGGTGTTTTTTTGTGTAAGAAATGTTGGGGTTTAGGGTGTAATAATTTATAGGGAGTTTAGGTCTTTTTTTAGTGTAAGAATTTATGAAATGAAGGGTATTTTTTAGTGTAAGAATTTATGAAATGTAGGATGTTTAGCTGTAAGAATTTATGAAATGTAGGGAGTTTAAGTCTTTTTTGGGAGCTTATATATTGGTCGCATTTTCCCCATGAAATGAAATGGAATGGGGAATCCCCATGCGACCAATATATAAGCTCATACACTACTAACATATGCTATCAGCTGAGTAGGTCCATCAGCTTCCTTTTACTCGTTTGATGCGTTTTAAATTTTTAATTGTTTATAGTCTACTCGTTACCTACTTATCATAAATTCATTTTCAAACTCTGACTTTATGTCTGACTCCATATAACACCATTTCTAGTAGTGCCAAGGTATCCGAATAGCATTCAATGTGACGTCATGTTCATAACGTAACTATGCTATCCGGTGACATTTCTCTCAATGAAAGACAAGGCAGCAGGACGAGTTTCTGTGGTTAAAGAAAATAGCAATATGGCAAATCGACGAAGAAAGAAGCGTGTTAATTATGGTTCGGGTGTAGGGGAACAACTATCAGATATGGTCAACTCTAGTGCCGAAAACCAAGGTGAAATGGGTATCATGGATGTAAATCTCGACCAGTCTCACGATTCAGTAGGCCTAAGTTTTGCTTCGGATGAAGATTCTAGTTTTTCCATATCAATGAGCCTAAATGATAGTATGCCAGAAGATATGTTAGACTTGGAGAACACTGAAACGGAAGAAGGGTTATTCATGAATAATACTAATTCTGACAGAGCTGTAGGTCTGTCTAATACTGGTTTAATCAACGACGATGAAAGAATCATAGAGACAAAAGCCGACAGAGAATATTACAATGATGTTGATAATGGTTTTGAATGTCTTTATCACTCAGCACTAGATAAAGGTAAGACTAAGATTCACTTGGGGCCTTTACTCGTACCTGCAGTATTAGATCTACCTAAACTAACCGTGTTGAATATGGTAGCCTACTTATGATAAAAAATCACGAGGAATCGAAAATTGTTGTTTTCTTGTTATGAAATCACATGCATGTATTGGATAATATAATATTTCATTCCGAGTGATGTATTATAGACACACTTCCTTTAGTTACCTGTACATGAAAGCATTGTCTAAAATCAAACCCGAAGGCTTCAGATCTGCAATGTTTTTGCGTTTAGACTGAGTATAATCTTTTCAATTGTGTAAATTATTTTAGTTTCAGAGTTAAATAAGGCTGGGCTGTTGACGAATTTGATTCTTTTAACTTTTCTTTCACTTCCTTCACTTTGGATTTTGTGGAACTCTTTGGAAAGTATCGATAAGTTTATTCCAGCATTTTGTAACTTCACTTTACAATCTGTTTGTGTGGTAGTATTGGCTATCACTTTTGTTCTTATATGCACTATTTATGTCTCTCGGCAAATACCTGGGAGGTGGACAGTGTTTAAGATCAATGATTCCCTTACTTATGATGGTAATGATGATCAGTCTATAGAGAATTTTAATAAAGGTGTCCAAACAAAAGTTCGCGGAGATGGCCTTGCTAAGATTTATTTAGAAATAGACAATTGTGAGACCCAACTAAAAGGCGTCAGACGTCAGTTTCTAAAATTAAAGCGAAGTTACGCTCAAAAACTTGCCAAATTAAAAGTCAAATCTAAAGAACAGAGTGAATTTTTAAGTCGTCTGCAATTACAATTTCCCGATTTAGAGAGAGAAAGAGACTTGCTAATCGCGGAAAAGGAAGCAATAGAAAAGCAACACGAAGAAGAAAAAAGGAGGAATCGTGAACTGATTGGAAGATTTCAAAGATTACAACAACAATTAGGACGCAATGGACAACGACAAATGGTTAACCCGTATTAATGTATTGATTTAGATGTAAGAAAAAAATACAAACAGATTTTAGTTAAAAACTATTAAAAGTTTACTCCCTTACACATTACAAATTTTACAAGTAAAGTGCTTTCTTCTGAAAATTCCTAATGAGTAAACTTATAGCCGCCGTTTGCCCTTATCTGGTTTCCATTTGGACTTCTGTAGTTCAGGCAAATTAGCAAATGTCATTCGAACCATAAGCATTTACAGGACGTACAGGTGCAAATGAGCGTACAAATATACCCGTTATTCATACTAAAACTATGAAACCTCTTAAAAGAGTAAGTCAAAAAATGCAACTGAATTTGCTAGTTGAAAAATTAAATCATAAAATTTATGAAAGATTTTGGATGTTTCAACTGGCAAAGTCAGTTGCATTTTTTGATATTTTGATAACACAGCATGGCACGTCCACAACCTTTCGGAACACATTCGCCGCGAACAGACGAGGTGCGTTTTACGGTGCTGGATTATCGAAACAGTAGAAAATAAAAGAAACGAATTGTGCCGCACGTGTCCGTAAGCTATTCTCACCTTAAGACTGACTTACTGACTGACTGTCAATATACCTTTAACAGTTATTATTTTATGAGTGTTAAACTTATTGTGAGATTGTGTCTTCCTAAATATTTCAATTTCGAAAATCTATAGCAGAATATATCTTCAATGACGCACAAATATACTTGCGGATAGTGTCAGTAGAAAGTTTACCATCAATGATGACAAAACGATTTGGAAAATTTGGCCGTTGCTGATAAACATTCTAAAAATACTAACTTTTGAAATTGAAGCAAATTCTTGAACGTTTACCTAACGTTAGTGAAGCAAAATTTAGTTACCCATCACTAAGTCATGCTTAATATTCATGATGATCAAGTGATCTAGCGATACGTTTATATTTTTATTTCACATTGTTATCTCGGGTTTAAAATTTTTTTTATTAATTCAATAATAAGCCTTCTTGTCACACAATACACAAATATTTCACAAATATTAAAATATATTTTTATAGCAACCTATAGGAAAATTCCTGTTTCACCAGTAAAAAATGTTTATTATAATTTCCATGGTTATTAATGTTCCTGTGTTCTTTTAATATATTATTTCAGATTCTGAAGATTATGGATTTTCATTCCAAATATTCAAACTATATTATACAGTGATGTAACCTATTTTCGTGGATATAAGGATTCAATACCGAATTTCGTCAAAGTAAAAAGAACGGAAAAAAAAATTTATGTCTTAGATGTTTCCTCAGATATTCTACAAAATAATTAAAATTAGTTTGTTTCGATTTTCTTTATGAATCCCTCACTTTGACCCATATTTCATGAGTAACCAACTCGACTACGGCGGCAAAATGCGTCACCTATTTTCGTGTACTATGTTTGATCTATAAATAAGTCGAGAAAAACGCGTTGTATGCATACCCAGTTATAGGTGTTATACTCTCCTATAGAAACACTGGCCTAGGTCACAAGTAGAGACAATGGATTTCAACATGAAAACTATTTCAATTCAAACAGAATATGTTTTACTGAAGATTATTCATAGATTATTACTTCTGGAGAGATTACAAAAAAAAATATATTCAACTCAAATTCCAATGCAATTGTTTCAGGGCGTTGATGAAAAGAGTTCTAATCTACCATGAACCAATACATTACTAAAGTTTTTATTTCTTTTATATATGACAGAGACCTTTATATCTGTAGTATTGTAGGTTGCAATGAAGGGTATGGTTTGGTTATTTAGGCCGTTAGGTATAACTGTTTGTAGACCCAGTGGTATAATTAACTTCTCTTAATATTTATCTTTAATTTCAATTCATTATAACTAGTGACAATTCCTTCAAAGAACCATGATTTAAAAAAAAATAGTGACTGACAAAATAAGATACGTAGCGTGATTTATTGCTAAAAGTCATTGAAACAACATAAGAATATGGCCCACTTTGTGTTCCATAAAATTTCCCTGCTGACACAGAATCTAGATTCTAGCAGACGACACTTGAATTCCGATTTCAGCATGGGATTATAAGGAAATTCGGTCGATTAAAAATTGTGACGTTTGGTATTAACTGAAATCCGCCATTTTGTATTTGTCAAAGTAAACATTAATACATTTTACCTTGCTTGAAACTACTGGATTCATTCTACTAGCTGACATTGTAGAGATAACCTGTGTTTATCAAAACAAGCAAATGCGGAGGCCACGCGAGGTCGCACATGTAAATTATTTATCCTTTCCGGAAATGCACGAAAAATATGTTAGCACGAAATTAGGTTACTTGACTGTACTATTCAAACTAATTGCACAAACAATACTCTCTCACTAGAGGTTTACGCCTACATGTCTGTGCTTGTGCTCTAGGAACAAACCTAAAATTTTTAATACAACGGGATCAATAAAAGCACCATGCAAAACTACCAAATAATATACTGTATCAAATAAAAAAATTAAACATAAGTTATTAGGTATTCAGGGTAGCATTGACTGTTATCAAATATAATAAATATATTTGGTCTATCTTCACAATTAACAGCTGAATCATACATTATATTGGGGTCACGTGGGTCAATTGGTGGAGGTTTCTTCATTTTTGGCGTGCCTTCTGTATATTTTCCAACTAAAACTTTGCAAACAAACATGTAACGAAAACCATCTTGATCTGCTACAGTATAACCATCAGATATTCTAGATTCCGTAGCAAAATAACAACCATCACCATACAAACCATTTTCTACCAGCCTCATGTCCAATCCCTGGTGTAGAATTGGGTTAACAACATCTGGTTTGGTTCCGTGAAAAAGCAATTTTTCATTGACATCAAATTTTGAGGATCTTTGCATAGATCTTTTCTTACTGGAATGAAAAAATACTTCAATGGATCATCATAATAGGAAATTAACATAAATATGTCAATGCCAAGGACTGTGTTACTGTTGGTCTATTTGGATTTTCGACATTACCCACAAGTACGTGGGAAGCAGGAGCTACACAATACTTACGTGATATAAGCTTCCCATCTATCAATATTTTGAATCCTTTCAACTTTAATTGGCTTTCTATTTCCCGTCTTGAGAAAATGTTTAACAACTTCGCGATATTCGTCAGTAACTCCAAGCATGCCGTCTTTAATTTCCACTTTAATAAAACCTTGGTTTTGTTCCATTGGAATCCAGTGGAGAGGATGCATTTCATCCCTTGAAGAGGAGGGACGTCTCTTTTTCACAGACATCATTACTCTGCAATAAATATGTACCAGTACACACACAAATTGAAAAGAAGTAGAGGTTCAGGCAGAATAATTCATTCAGTCATGAAGGGGAATCCTATTGTAGTCTCCCTGCTAGTTCTATACAGTTAGACCAATAATGTCAAACTCTGGTTTGAAGAAGTATCTTGCTATAACAACTGGTATGAACAAGCACAGTGAAAGTAACAGTGGCCAGATATTCTGTAAGTATAGTATACCTATCACGTATTTTTAATTGACAGTACTGGTAAGACATATCTTACTTATAGCTTACTTTTTCAATAAACCTTTAGTTTCAGCGGATACAAGATCGAAAACCGTCTTTCCTTGTTTATTTACTATTTCCAAATCAGACCCAAACTGTGTCAATACATAGGTTATATCAAGCTTCCTTTCAAATCCCTGGCGTCCACTGGACTGGCTGTAAATAGTCTGAAAGTACACGTTAAAACACTTTCAGCATCGTCATTTTGCACTTAAAGCCATAAAATGTGTGAGGGAGTGTGGGGGAGGGGGTGTGAGTGAGGGGGTGGGGGCATCCACAGATCCAGACCGGCGAGTGGAATACGAAAAAAATATTTATACATACGGCAGCATCAATATTAGTAAAACTAAACTACATTTTCATCATTCACAACCACAAAACTGACATTGGAATGGAAATATCGACCTTACATACGAGCGTAGATAACTTCAAATCACCAAAAATTGCCTACCTTGTCCAAGCATATATCCAAAGCCGACAAATGAGCCGGAGTATTACCATCTTTGTCCTGACAATTAATTTTTGCCTCTGAAAAAACAATAATAAGCCTTAGAAAATAGGTACGTTAGTTAAAATTATATCTATATTCTATTGGTAATCTTATTGTTTAAATCCTGTGATTGATTCTAATTTATTCAGAATTTGATGTCTTAATTCTTAATTGAATGAGTATCATTCGCTTTTGTAATTTATTTATTTACCTGCACTAAGCAATAAATCTACCATAGGTTCAGATTTTTGGATTACTGCTAAATGAAGTGGAGTTCTTCCATCGACATCTTGAGCGTCCACATCACATTTGTTCTAAGGTAAAAAAGGAACAAGTGAATCACGTATATAAATCTCACAATTGGCAATGGCCATAAAGGTGTGCCCCAGTAGTCGCCACGTGCCTGGTTCATGGCGCTTACTGCGATTTTTTCAGTCGTCGGTGTGTCGAGTCAACTAAATCCACCAATAATTAATAAGATTCTCCTAATTGCCGCCGATGATAGCAGTCAGATTTTCTGTCAGGTATAGCTATTTTTGAACCGCCAACGAATCACAAACGCAGTTGCTACCATTTGCTTATTGTATTTATCTATAGTCGATTTATAGCAACAGATTAGTTATGAATCACCAGTCGACCAATGCACACAGACAAAGCAAATATGGTACTCTACCTGCTTTAGCAAAAGCATTGCTAATTCATTGTTAGCGTTAATGGCAGCTACATGTAATGGTGTATGTTTTCCAATTGATGTTCTCAGTGAATCCATATTATCTTTTTTTGCTGCCATTTTTTGGAATATTCTGAAAAATTAATTTGAAAACAGAAATCAAAGAAACCGTATGATATATTGGTGAAAATTAATAACTTTCTTTATTTAGCCCTGTAAATTTACACATAATTCAAGGCTCTGTAAAACCAACAAAAATAACGACATCGGCATATCTTAAAGATAGGTTTAGCACCCTTATTAATAATAATGAGGGGATGGATAAGAGTGTGTTATTATATTTTGATGCGATTTGATTACTTTTGACTTTTGTATTTCAGTATAATATGTATGTGGAAGAAACAAACCCTTCAGGGAGGTGGTTGATAACAGCAGAATGGACAGGAGTTATGCCGTTAACATTTATTAGATCAACCTTAACATTTTTACTGGATAACATCAGCAGTAGAATATTCTTATCTTTATCATCACAGTCTACAGCATCATGTAATGGACTATCACCTGATTCATCCTGAACATAAAAAGAGCGGATAAAGAAATCATAGTGACCGAATCAACAGTGGAGTTGTTTTTAATCTACATTACGTTGCATCCCAAATGATCGACATAATGCAAACGATTTAGACAAACTGAATATAACATATATGTATGGAAGACAAAGTAAGATATAAACAAATACGAACAAGACAATTAAAATGTTATACCTGTGTATTGATATCGCAATTCCTATTCAGAAGGAATTCCACTATGGCATATTCCTCTCTTATAACTGCCAAATGGAACGCAGTCTGTTTTTTCTTGTTTTTTAAATTGATATCGGCTCCTTTCGAATGTAATAATTTTACAATTTGAAAGTGCTTTCTGAAATGGAAAAGCCAGCCCCATATATTTTATTACATTAAATCATTAAACATTCACATTTAAAGGTACAAATAGTTATATTCTTTGGGACTTACCATTTGACATAGGGAAAAGATGTTCTATGCCCGCCTTGAAAATTTTGTTAACCCCTACATGCCACTGGAAGCCTGCAAATAAGAGTCTTATTAAACTTAGTTTGATGAGACATACGCTCAACTATTAGCGCATATTGCAAAACGTACCCATCTGCGGCAAAATGTATTGGTGCATCGCCTTCTTCATCTTGTAGGTTTATATTGGCTCCATTTGATAGAAGATATTGAACAATTTTATCATGACCTTTACTACACGCCATTTGTAAAGCTGTTTTGCCTTTTTTAAATATATCCACCTGAATTAATATATCAACATTATTGTACACAATATCATCGTTTTGTATTTTTCGGCAGAATGAAAAAACAAGTTTTGCCCCTGATACATTTTCAGTATATCAAGGGCGGTTACCAATCTGTGTCGAATCAAAAATCTGATTTGTTCATACAAAATTAAATAAAATTCTGACCTAAACTGTCACCTCTATCGCGTTCACAAGCAAACAAATGGGGTTTTTACTAAGTCAATGGCAATAACTCAAATTCCATTCATCGGAAAATTGTCAAATTCAAACTTTTCCAAGTTCTCATTTAAAGATCCCATTATAATGTGAGCGTATGAAAATGTAGACAAAATTATGAACTAGGCAAAGTAAGTCTGGTTTTTAAAATCGGCCATATTATCTTTTAATTCGATTAACTACAATTCCTAACTGAGTATAGAATAAAATATAATACTATAATAAATAACATGATATTACTTGTGATTTATCTGCTGAAAGGATAGCTTCCAGACCATTAATATCATTCTGTGCAGCTGCTGCTACCAAACCCTGTGATGCTAGTGGCATCTGTAAAATCTGGGCCAAAGCATTTTCAGTTTCGTTTTCAATCGCTAGAAAAAAAATGACCTTGAATGTTTACAAATACATTATCAATTCTTTCAATATGGAAGTTCCCTCTGATTTGATATTTATTTCGCTAAAAAAAAATGATGAAACTTTTTTTTCTAACTAATAAAAATAAACTAATAAGAATAAAATTTCAAAATTGCACGATGGATTATTTGAAGGCTATACCACATAGCCTGTGTTTTTGTTTTATGTGATTTTATAGATTGAGTAGCCATGGGGAAGGAAGTACTGACGATGAATCTGTTGAATATATACACAGCCAATTGTAATGTTAAACAAATAAATAAATAAAGAAACTACCGTCAAAATCTTCCAGTTGTGCAACTGATGTGGTTGATAAAGCTGATGATGAAGCAGTACTAGAAATCATAGAATGGCTCTCCAGATATTTCAATTCATCACTTGATATTTCCGATTTATCAACTGGTGAACAGCAAACGGGGCTGTAGTAAAAATCTCTGTCTTTCACCTGTACCTTTAAGTCACCATCGTCACAAACTTCTATTATTTGACCTATCTTATCCTTGGTCTGGAAAAAATATGAACACTTAAAGTAATAGATTCACCATCCGTTTGACCCTTCATATCTTAGTTTCAGAAATTGGGATTTTTTAACTAAGCTAATTAATAGACATACCTGTTCCATATCTTCGACCCAATTTCCGTGTCCCTCTTGTAGTTTTTCCATTTTAGGTGTAGGTTGATTAAGAATTCTTACGAAATCTTTTCTCTTGAAAGAGTGTTTCTGTTAAATTCACAATAAAACAAAATTAATATACCTCACTTATATACTTATCCTTATTCCATTACTTCAATTATTTTCATCTGAGAAGATCTTTCATTTCAACTTGACTTTCACTTTCACCCTTGTCCAATTCTAGTCAGTCACAAGCTGTGGGGTCCTTTTTTAGTAAGATGATAATTTGTTCACAAAGCATCGATCTGCATTGATTATTCATGTCCAAAATCAAATCTGAAAACATTTGCTTCATTTTCAGAGGCATTGAAATCAGTTCTCATTTTTAAAATCTTTATCTACAGGCAATGCATATGATTGCCTTTGAAAATTTTTTAAGCATTCTTACTTTAATCAGCAAAGATCGTAACAAATGCCATGTCTGTGTATTGTGGTATTGTAGTGAAATCATTCTATCATGTATTCTTACTATTGTTCCTTCTTTATTTACATACTAAAATACAAGATAAACTATGGACATGTAAAAGGAACCAACATCCGTGAAATTTCTTTAATATTGGTGAGCTTTTGCTTGGCATCTTATGGCTGTGTTTCTAAGGTAACTTTAACGTATTTTCAAATTGACAAATAAAGATCATATATTGTTAAGAGGTTTGTTTTGTATGGTGTTTTGACAACTCTATATCTACGGGCCTGCTATGCTAACAGTTATGTAAATGAATATTTACCTTTTCAATTGCAGGATCCCAATTATTCATTTCGGTCAAGACTTGTTTAAGTATTGCAACATCAGGTATCATTTTAACTTTATCACCAAGTTTTAATTCTCCATGGGAATGTAAAATATCTTTTTAAAAAACATATTGATATTTAAAATACTTTGATGATAATGTAAAAACGACATATAAGGGACCTTCTAAATAGCAAACCAATTTTAAAGAAAAATTCAGATAAAAGACAAGAATAGTATATTGGATCTGAATAATTCATTGCCGATCACGAGATTCATATATGAGGTAAATTTATAAAAAAGGCAATAACTCAAGGATTACCTAGTACGGGTAGATATGCTGGTACACACAAATATTTTCTTGATTCACCAAAACATAACAGATCAACACAACCGTCTCCACCCACTCTATAGTTGGTTCGAAATCCATTACTCCACTTTACCAGTGCAGATCCATCATAGGAAGTTGAACCCCATTTTGTCAACTTCTCAACTACTCCCTCGTTCCTCTTTCCACCTGTGGGAGTCAAAAGATTAAATAAATAATTTCAGTTTTGGTATCCAAGAAAATTTTGTTGCATGGCAATAATAATCAAACAATTTTTATTAACTATTTCATTTAGCTTTTAAATTTTCCTTCCGGTACCTTAAAATTGCAACATTAGGACAAACTCATTCACCAGGAATGTCGTGAAACTATTAAATGGTACTGCTTACCATCTTCATTGCCACTTTCCCAATCCACTCCCCTAGTAACACTAGCACCAGGTAATATACCATGTAAAGTTATTACTCTATTACCATGTCCATCTCCAGTGCTATACCTTAAAATGACATTTATCTATGCTTATAAATCATTAATCTTTGAATACCAATTATCTTAAACCTGTTTAAATACTCCATTGCATCCAACAATATCATTCTTTATGAAAATTTTAAAAAGTGTTAAATTTCTTTTATTCAATTCGTAGATTGCATAGTTTCCTTTTGTCGAATTTACAGAAGAGAAGAGTTTCAATGACCAATATATGTGAACTTTACTTTGATATAAAACTCTTTAGGACTGTTTAGTTAAGTTACCTTCCTCGAACGAAATATGCTGATTTTGCATACTTCTGTTATTATCTGGGGGTGCATATTATCATTCTTCGACCGATTCGCTGGTATGACCACATGAAATATACGCATACGCCCATCTGCTTTGTTAAATTTTTAGATTCAATAAAGAGCAGTATGAATCATAATCTGTCAAGTGTCTATTCAATATTCCATTATTCAATATTTTCTTTTGAAAATAAAACAGGAAAACCTCTTTCATAATAAAGTGTACTTACACAGTAGTTGAAGGTGTTGTTTGTCTCAGAAATTTGTGGTTTTGATTATGAGTCTGATCCATGAAACATCTGGTACAAAGATCGAAGTCTTCGCATTCTCTACACTTCCAACGTATTCCAGTTAGAGGCATTTTGTCCTTACATTTTCCATCACAAACTACTGATGTGTGAATCACACCTGTATGACAAATAAGATTCATTATATGCACAAAATAAGAATGCTTTTCAACACGTTATAATTACATGTCACATATCATTTGACTTTAACATCATGTATATAGACCTACCTATATTTGGTGCACTAGCCAAGTTATCATCTTTCAGAATGAAAATTGGGTAGTCCCATTTCTACCCAAATATTTGGATGACTTTATCCTATTGTTATCTTGGTAATGGGCAAATCACGTGATTTAAACACTAAAATTGTTGCATATTTTAATCTAAATTTGAGACTGTTTTTATTTAACCATAGAAAATATGAATGAAATTCACCCGTTAACTGTTACTGACCTGTCGGTCCATTGTCATATAGCAATAACTCATGTTTCCCATCCGATCCAGCTTTATAGATACCATGACCACCAAAATCCCACATAACCTTGACCTTCCCAACTGAATCATAGGCGTTGATGACTGTGCCAAGACTTCCTTCACCACCATCTTCATTTCCACCTGACCAATCAGGTCCTCGTATAACTCGAGTACCCACGTACTTCATTATTCAGTCCCCATTTCAGTGTAAAATAGTCTAAAATGGTTTCTACAATGGATGTTTTGCAGATAAAATCAGTTCATTTGGGATAGCTTAGTCGATTTAAAAAAGGGAAGTTGTACCACAATACAGTCGAGGTGTAGGCTCACCCAACGGATTTTAAAAAGAAGGAAAGATAGCTTGCCAGGCGAGGTAATATACGCCCACTGGCAGCTTTGATTTTGAAATAAAAATATTTGGCAGTACAGTGGCAATCACCAGTATGAAATATTCAACCTAGTCATACACTTCTTTTGAACTCTTTAGGGCGATAATGAATAACATTGAGTATGAGTTATTGCCCTTGTTCTTGAAAACTTGTTCAATCTTTACTTGTGAAAACTCTAGAAAGCAAATATTCAATCTTCAGCGCCGTATTGAATAATAAAACCAAGTTTTGTCAAAATCCGACAACGATTATGCCTTTTAGTGTTTAAGGGCTAAAATTTGAATGCGTTTTCAAGAACGAAGTCAATAACTCCTATGAAACATTTTTCGATTTTTTTTTATTTTCGATAGGGTTCATCCATGGTTGGTAATAAACAATTTCACCAAGTTTCACCAAAATCTGTCAAGAATTGAGCCTTCTAGAATGTTTACGAGCTAAAAAATTGAACGAGTTATCAAGAACAGGGGCAGTTACTCCTAAATATATTCCGATTCCCCTGATTTTCAATAGGGTTCATCCTTGGGTGATAACGAAAACTCACACCAAGTTTCGTCAAAATACGTCAAGAATTGTGCCTTCAAGATTATTTACGAGCTAAAAATTGACCGCGTTTTCAAGAACAGTAACTCCCACTAAATATTTTTCAATTCCTCTGATTTTCGATAGGGTTCATAGGGTGTGATAACAAACACTCACACCAAGTTTCGTCAAAATTCATCAAGAATTGTGCCTTCGAGAGTGTTTACAAGCTAAAAATTGAACGCGTTTTCAAGAACAAGGGCAATAACTCATACTTAATATTTTTTAAATTTTTCTGATTTTCAGTAGAATTTATCCTTGGGTGATTACGAACACTCACACCAAGTTTTGTCAAAAGAGTGTGGTCTAGAGTGTTTACGAGCAATTGTGGACGGACCGACCGACGGATGTACGGACCGACCTACGAACGGACATGCGTGACGGCAATATACGCCCCCATTTCATGGAGGCGTACAAAAAGCCTATCCATTGTTCGTTCAATATATCTATATTCACAGGGTTTTATATTAATGAAGAGCCGAAACAAACTGTCGTATCCGTTTCGTATTTAAATATTTCCATGTTAGTTTAAGTGTTGTTTGTTGAAGATCAGACGATAATAACTGGTCAATAACCCTTACTAATTCAGTATATTAGAGAGAGAGAATGCGGTTTAGATTGCCTGTTTCAGAATGTTAATACGATATTGGGGTTTTCTACATGTATTGCTATAATCTAGATATTGAAGCTATCCAATTGTGATAAAGTTACAATATTTTGGGCGACAGTTTCGGCTGTTAAAGTTAATACCCAAACATTTAGTCCTAAGAGTGTGAACTATAGCAGAATATAACAATACCCTTTATTTTGTAACAATAATATTATTATGGATAGGCTGTATTACAATACATTTCATGAATGGCTATTACCATGGGCAAATTAACGTCCTGTTATATGCTTCACTTATATTATATGCTTTCGACAAGAGAACCAATTTCAAGAGAACCACTGCAGTGCTCCATTATCTTTTGAAAAACATCAACATTAATATGGTATGAAACGGTCTATAGGTGGTTCGACTCTAGATATTTAATGAAATTATACAAATTCCGCATATTATATTGGCATTGGCATAAGTCAATCCGGTTTATTCCCATTTCGCCCCTTCCCATTTTGCCCCTTCCAAAATCGCCTCCTATTTATTCCCATTTCGCCCCTTTCCCATTTGGTCACTTCCAATTTTGTCCCTTCCCGATTCGTCCTCTTTTAAATTTGCCCATTTCCAATTTCGCCCCCTTTTCATTTCGCCCCTGTCCCATTTTGCCCCCTTCGAATTTTGCCCCTTATCCCCACTTCGTCTATTTCCTAGTTTGCTCCTTTTCGCAATTCGCACCTTTTCATATTTTACATTGCATTTACAACAGTTAAAGGCAGTTTAAGAGTAAGTTGCATACAGAAAAAGATAACAATTAAATTGATATATAAAAAATTTGAAATAGGGCGAATAGGGAAAGGGTAAAATGGCAAGTGGCAAAGGGCGAAACAGAGAAAGGACGAAAAGGGAATAATGTAGGGGCATATTCGGAAGGGACGAAATGGGAGAAATCGAAGTGGGTTGATAATATATAATGTGTCCTTGATCATTGAATTCAGGAGTCGACAACATTAAATTTATGCCTATTTTTACACACCCCGGCCTTAAATTCCCTAAATTATAACCTATTCTTCGGGGCGAATCTATTACCACTAAATTATATTCTCAACAACTAAATTAGGCATCTAATGCAGGACTGTTAATAAGAAAACAAACTCTACCTCTAAAATTCTGTTTATATACTTCCTTGAATACCGAAACTACAAGTTGGATATTTCATATCGGTTTATTATTAGAAAAATACCCACAAGTCAATAAAGGAAGTAAACGGGCACGTTGGATCTTGTATATTTGAAGCTTTTGTTGTATGGTGTGATAAGCCTACATACAAATATTATAGAAAATATGCATTGTCTGTACAAATATAACGGTGGGTATACTAAACCAACTTCCAAACCAACACATCTGAAGCGCGATTTTAATGACTAAAACCATATACATCACCAATCACATAAGGTTTAGAGAAGAAGCTATATCTCTATACATTTACCCATTTTTACAGATCTATTCATAAGAATTACTACCATTCTTTCCATCAATCTGCATCACTAAATTCACATTGGTCAGAAACAAGAGCCATGGTTTTTCATTTCCATCTCATGTGTGGGGGGTGGGGGGGGGAGGCTTTTTGGTAGTTTTCCTTGCAAAAACTCAAAAATCGGATTGTTTTAAGAAAATCGATTGTATCCTAATTTTCATCAACCAAAGATTAATATAGTCGAAGCAATATTTTGCTTTGTGTTTAATGGGAGAGGTTAATATATCATAGCACATGTTATCTTAAAATAATCGTGATTCAACGACCATGTTGTTGACATATTTCTCTGATGACATTGATTCAACTGGACGTACATATAGTGTCACCTTAATTGCTTAATATCTGATAATTACATAATTTAATGACTAATTAACAAGATCTTTCATCATTATCTATAGACATACTGATACTAACATTACAGTGTCGTGTTTCAATAGATATATTTCACTCTATTAGTTTATGCGTGTTGGTTTAGTTGCAGTGTACACCGAATTTCAGGGTTTATTTTTAAATATTAATATCCTAGTTCTATTAAAGAGTTGGAAATAGAGCCTATGGTGAAAAAAAAGAAAAGAAAAGATAGACATATTTGGTCACGATTCCAGTTATTTTCTAATACTGACGATGATTTGAAGAATTGATTCCTCTAATTCAACCTCGGTTTAACTGATGTATAATAAAAAAAAATAGCCTTTGCCACGAGTTCTATTAATATTAAGGTATATTTCTCATTATTTAAATATGTTACAATAGAGTAGATCAGGACTGATTAAATTCAAATCATATTTCGATAGTTACCTGTCCTGGACTGGAATAGTAAAAGAGGTTTTTTATGTTCAAAGCTTGTAATTGACGATAGGATACAGTTCCCATCCATTGTTGTTGTGATGTAACTGTTCAGTAATCACATGATTTGTATGTCAACAGTCTGATTCAGTCGATTAATGCTGTAAACATCACTTGGGAAAATGTTTAGGGACGCTCAGATTACTTCCCCTCAACGACTCTTCAAACAACGAGTTAAGGAAATCAATAAATGAAGTTATTGGCGGTAAAAGTGCTTCTGGTTGTCACGCGGTTATAGAAATCAGAATTTATACCAAAAACAATCAAATTCCAACTAAGTTAGGATGATACTTCGTAGAGAAATAGACTTACTTAACTTTTTCAAACAATACCGTAGTCAATGAATGCTCGTGTTTTTACATTCTCGTGGAAACATCCCTCTTCCTTGTGTGAAATGTGCAGACGGGTTGAATCAAAACGTTGGAATATAATTGGATAAATTAATGTGTTATCAGGAAGTTCCTATCACTCCTTAGTGTTATACGGTTGTTAACAGGGAATATTGAATACCTAGTAAACGTAAATTATGTGTATTTCATACATTTAGTATTTTGTTTGTAATTGATAAGATTATCATTATTAAATTTGCGAAATGTTTTATATCACAGGAAAAAGGAAAGACAATTCCAAGGACAAACAGTGTGAATGTCGTTCAGAGAGTAAAAGTAGGTATAAACCAATAGGTAAAGGCAATGTTTATAAAGTAAAATTAGATAGATCAGCTTGGGAGGTGCGGACACCTTTTGTATTTACCTCAAGTAGATTGGGTTCTAATTATGATTGTTCAATGTCAATAGAAGAAACAGAAGAAGAATACCAAGAAGAACAGAACAGTAAGTTATTATGTTTTGATTCGAACGTTACATCTGTCATTTTATAAGGCAACAATATAATATTTCTTATTTAATAGAAACCTGTAAAACTTTCAATTATATTGCTTTCCTGTCTTGAATTGTCTAGGGAGGAGAATTTGGCATTAGATAGGCTTCGTCCACATTAATTTATATCGATATATCAATGATTTATATATGGTATTACCATGGTGAAATGTCTCTAATACTTTTGAAGTGCGAGAATCAAGTACACACTGTCAAGATCTTACCCGAAAAAATAAAGACAGAAAACATCTGAGGTAAATAACATGACTGGGTCGGGTCTACACTGGCACACTAGTCTTACCTATGTAAGAACTTTGCTGGACGGTGATATCTTGGTTATATCTTACTCCCTTGGCATGAACC